CATGGACGTCTGCCAAATGGTTTGCCAATCTTTTTAAAGCTCGCTTGCCGCAGATGGGACAATCTTTACACTTCCGAGGCATAATGTCAAATGATAAATGTCAACTGATTCCTAACATTAAATAGTTGTGGCCCTAAAGGCCGAAGGTTTGCTGGGACTTGGGAAAGGGTTAGAGAAATGGGTTAGGGGAAAATAGCTACCGCACAGGATCGATCTTATTTTACTTTTATAAATCAAACACAAACAACCATTAAGAGTCAATGTCACTAGGATACCGTGTGTTTCTGAAAAGTCTTTTCAAAAGAAATTTTCTCTTGTCAATAGCGGCCTCTAACGCTTCCCGATGGTCGAAATTATCATCGTTGACAAAGACATCCCTGGTTTCCATAATCTTTTTGTGTATTGGATCTCTCTTTAGTGCTCTTATCCATAGTAGACGTTCCAAATAAATATTCTGCAAATCTTTACGAAGTTTTGGTACGATAAGTAAATATGCCTTGTTTTTAGCTTCGTTTTCGTCAAAACCTTCTGCAGTGAAATTCTGCGTTAGTTCTTCGAATTCCGATAAATTTTGTTGGGTTGCTTCAGCTTTTAAAGGAGCCCACGGATCGCTTTCGTATTCATCACCTACTTCACCACTAGTATCATCTACATTATCAGAATCACTCTCTGACGCAGAATCAGTTTCCACTTCGTTGTCAGTGTTATACGAATTCTCAACATCACTCTCTGATGTAGCACTATCAGAGTCTGCAACCGTTCTCATTCTTTTCATCTTTACACTGAAATCTGTAGTTGGTTTCCAACAGTACTGTATTTCCTTCGTATATAGTTAGGTTGAAACAACTCCAACCACAACTAACTGGCGAATGATCAATTTTTTGAACAACATCCCATTTTATGAAGTGGCCCAAGGGCCTTTTCTACGGCCTTGTGTCCCGATTGGTGATTGGCTGGGACACTTCCCATCAAACCTCCCCACCAATAGAATTTTAGAGAATCGCGCCACAAGGCCATAAAAAGGCCCTTGGGGCCAATGCGAAAAGTGGCCCCAAGGGCCTTTTCTACGGCCTTGTGTCCCGATTGGCGATTGGCTGGGACACTTCCCATCAAGCCTCTCCACCAATAGTATTCTAGAGAATCGGGCCACAAGGCCATAAAAAAGGCCCTTGAGGCCAATGCGAAAAGTGGCCCCAAGGGCCTTTTCTACGGCCTTGTGTCCCGATTGGTGATTGGCTGGGACACTTCCCATCAAACCTCCCCACCAATAGAATTCTAGAGAATCGGGCCACAAGGCCATAAAAAAGGCCCTTGGGGCCAATGTGAAAAGTGGCCCCAAGGGCCTCTTCTACGGCCTTGTGTCCCGATTGGCGATTGGCTGGGACACTTCCCATCAAGCCTCCCCACCAATAGGATTCTAGAGAATCGGGCCACAAGGCCATAGAAAAGGCCCTTGGGGCCAATGCGAAAAGTAGCTCATCCCAACCAATCATAAGTCGGGCCACAAGGCCGTAGAAAAAGCCCTTGGGGCCACTTTTCGCATTAGCCCCACCGGTCTTTTCTATGGCCTTGTGACCCGATTCTCTAGAATACTATTGGTGGAGAGGCTTGATGGGAAGTGTCCCAGCCAATCGCCAATCGAGACACAAGGCCGTAGAAAAGGCCCTTGGGGCCACTTTTCGCATTGGCCCCAAGGGCCTTTTTATGGCCTTGTGGCGCGATTCTCTAGAATTCTATTGGTGGGGAGGTTTGATGGGAAGTGTCCCAGCCAATCACCAATCGGGACACAAGGCCGTAGAAAAGGCCCTTGGGCCACTTCATAAAATGTGATGTTGTTTAAAAAATTGATCATTCGCCAGTTAGTTGTGGTTGGAGTTGTTTCAACCTAACTATATACGAAGGAAGTACAGTACTGTTGGAAACCAACTAGAGATTTCAGTGTAAAGATGAAAAGAATGAGAACGGTTGCAGACTCTGATAGTGCTACATCAGAGAGTGATGTTGAGAATTCGTATAACACTGACAACGAAGTGGAAACTGATTCTGCGTCAGAGAGTGATTCTGATAATGTAGATGATACTAGTAGTGAAGTAGGTGATGAATACGAAAGCGATCCGTGGGCTCCTTTAAAAGCTGAAGCAACCCAACAAAATTTATCGGAATTCGAAGAACTAACGCAGAATTTCACTGCAGAAGGTTTTGACGAAAACGAAGCTAAAGACAAGGCATATTTACTTATCGTACCAAAACTTCGTAAAGATTTGCAGAATATTTATTTGGAACGTCTACTATGGATAAGACAACTAAAGAGAGATCCAATACACAAAAAGATTATGGAAACCAGGGATGTCTTTGTCAACGATGATAATTTCGACCATCGGGAAGCGTTAGAGGCCGCTATTGACAAGAGAAAATTTCTTTTGAAAAGACTTTTCAGAAACACACGGTATCCTAGTGACATTGACTCTTAATGGTTGTTTGTGTTTGATTTATAAAAGTAAAATAAGATCGATCCTGTGCGGTAGCTATTTTACCCTAACCCATTTCTCTAACCCTTTCCCAAGTCCCAGCAAACCTTCGGCCTTTAGGGCCACAACTATTTAATGTTATGAATCAGTTGACATTTATCATTTGACATTATGCCTCGGAAGTGTAAAGATTGTCCCATCTGCGGCAAGCGAGCTTTAAAAAGATTGGCAAACCATTTGGCAGACGTCCATGAACTTTCGTCCCAAGAAAGACAACCTTATCTTATTCGTGCTAAGCCAACAGCTTTAAACTTAGAAAACGTTTTAACAGAATTGTACAGATTAATTGGGAACAATAAAAAGCAGTCAAAGTGGAATAAAAGCAGGATAAAAAATATACCCATTCTTCAACCAAAATCCTCCAGGAAAAGAACGAAATCAAGTACAAAATCTGCAAAGAATGTGGACAATACAGAAATGAATGATGGCTCAATGGATTGGTTAAAGTTAGAAACAAAAGCGAAACACAACTCTTAAGTGGATAATATTATATTTATACAGACAAGAATTATTAACTTTGTAGTACTTAAAGAAATAAATGTGTCTTAAATCGAAATTCTTGTGTAAATTTTTGCCCACAAAACATCGCGCCCGATTTTAAGGTATACACCTGCGTTATAAATAATCCCTATCTATCCATTGGGATACACTTAGTCATGCAAATTCGTATTGCCGTAATCCCCTTAATTACCTACACCTCCTAATGACTTAACACATAACAACGTATATAACGAGTACATGTTTTTATCGCAAAATATATTACAACTGTTCCAATTCTAACTTATATTCTTCATAAGCTTACTTATGATCTGACTCGGTCATCTTAACAGTATATATGTATGTAGAATATTTGCTAAAATAACGTTGAACAACATGTAAATATTGACCTTAACAACGACGTTGACAACTCGGGATTAGGAACTGTTTAGTTTAAAATATGTCTAAAATATGTTTAAAATATGATTTTTGTGACGAATAGATTCCTTATTTGCCCTCGTTCGTTTTCGTTCATCATGAGGTAGTCATGTTGTCTTTGACTAGGATGACCGACTTGACAACCATTACAGGATTCCACACAAAGTCTTTCAACTTTTGGCTGCAAAGCGCTCCTGTCTTGTCTAAATCGCTTTCTCTCTTCCCGCACGGATAACCCGCGACGCCCGCGCAATGAATATCCTAATCTATCCGTATTTATCCACACAGTAGAAAAATGCAAATCTCTGATAAAAGTTAATCCTTTAATTAGTGTCACCCTAACAACACATAGCAACCGGTGTGCTTTAATATAGCTTAAATTTATTAATCTTATCCGAGTTTTAGTACTTTAAAAAACTAGCAATAAAATATAGAAATCGATTGACAATTATATATCATAACCTCTAATTTCCATGTGTTTATATAACCCTAGACAGCAACATATTCTTTCGTATATAGACCTCATATGCCGGGCAGACCGGGATTTAAATATTAGTTTAATTGTAGATACATAATAACTCTTACCGCATGCTATTTCTCAGCGTTTTGACGCTTGATAATATTTATATATTACTTAACAACAAAACATATAGCTGTATACCCAGAATATATAAGTTTTAGATATATAACACTAATGCTATTTCATATAGTATCAGATTTTTTACTCCTCTAGGAGCTAAATTAAAGGAATCACTTGACAATAACAGCAAAATGCTAGAGCTGTACTTATAAAACTCCAGACAACAACATATTCTCTTGTATATAGCCCTAACTATTGTATCACACACGTGGAAGACGCTAAAAAATGCGTAGTCAGCAAGTTTCGCCCGATCGTGTTTAAGCTCGCCCGCGTGACGTTATTACTTGCCTGATCCTACCCGCGTGACGTCATTGCATGTAATTATGACGTATGCTAATGATGATGCGCCGCCCCGCGCCGCCCCCGCGCCGCCCCCGCGCCGCCCCAAAAATCCGGATCGAACGGTACCTATATTACTACTAACATTATAATACAAATCATAATCCGAAGATAAGCATCTTGAAACCCAAAATATGAGTCAAACAAGAAAGTGAGTGAGTAATATTTCGATTTTATTACAAAATCATCATCAGACTAACTAAAGTTACAATATACACATGGTCTTATATACAAGTTGGCAAGGCATGATGACAGCTTAAAGGAAGTCTCAATCAGAACCACGACAGTTGCAGTGAGATGTAAGTGTGATGAAATGTGAGTGTATAGATTAAGAAAAAAGCTTGAGTTCTTTGCTGGCTTTAAGTCCAGTGTTTAAACTGGGTGAGTGATACTTGATATATAGAGCTTCAAGCAACAAGAGTAAGTCAGGTGTGCGAACAGTGTGAAGAATTCGAGAGTTGTCAAATATTAAGTTGGAAATAAAAGTGGAAACGTTATTGTCAGCGTCAGTTGGATTGTTAAGTTTGTCAAAAACAAAGTGTAGGTTTACAATGTATTGCACATGTTCGCAGTTATAAAAATGCTGTCCAATAGCACTTTTGGTCGGATTGGTATGTTCAGCGAGTCGCGTCTGTAAACGTCTTTCTGTTTTCCCAATATACGTTGCGAAACAGCCAGAACATGTCACCTCATAAACTACATTAGATTTCGAAAGATTATTCTTCACACTATTTATTCTCCCACACCTAACTTACTCTTGTTGCTTGAAGCTCTATATATCAAGTATCATTCACCCAGTTTAAACACTGGACTCAAAGCCAGCAAAGAACTCAAGCTTTTTTCTTAATCTATACACCCACATTTCATCACACTTACATCTCACTGCAACTGTCGTGGTTCTGATTGAGACTTCCGTTAAGCTGTCATCATGCCTTGCCAACTTGTATGTAAGACCATGTGTATATTGTAACTTTAGTTAGTCTGATGATGATTTTGTAATAAAATCGAAATATTACTCACTCACTTTCTTGTTTGACTCATATTTTGGGTTTCAAGATGCTTATCTTCGGATTATGTTTTGTATTATATTTTTTGAAATTGTCGGCTGGTATTGGTTTTTAACAATATTAATTATTATAAAAAAATGGTTTAAGCTTGTTCAATCTTGTCAACGACAAAGTAAGGGTATTTACAAATATAGTGGTTTGAATATAAATATACACAATTTACAAAAGTTTATTATGTGAGATTACAAATGAAAGCCGTTAGGTATTTTCCAAGAAAAGAGTTTTCAACTTTTTCTTAAAAGTAGAATAAAACATAGTGTTGCTAGTTTCTTTATCAAGAAAGTTCCATATTTTAACTCCCTTATTAACAATAGTATGTTTTGCATAATTATAGTTCTACTATAATTGACATGCAATTTGTTAGAATTCCGAGTATTGTAATGATGCACTTCATTGTTTTGTATGAAGTAGCCATTAAACAATTCAGGTAGATTTTGTAAATGTTTAAAACGGTACATAAATAAACAACTTAAATAGGCATTAATCTTAAAGAGATTCAAGATTTTCAATTTTTGAAACAATGATTTAGTGTGTTCAAGATAAGATTTAAAATTCATCAATCTGATAATTTTTTCTGTAAATTGTGGGGTACGTGTTACCCCACAATAGTGAGCTTAAGCAAGTGACGTTTTTGACAACACGAACGGCATGAGTAACGTCAGAAGACTGGGTCAAGGGTTGTGATTGGTGAAAAACGTCAACTTTACTTCCGGTCGACGTCCGTGTTGTCAAAAACGTCGCTTGCTTAAGCTCACTAATATGGGGTACGTGTTACCCCATATTAATTTCCCATAAGTAAGATATGGATAAACTAATGCATAATAAAGTACATTTAATGTATATAATGTATATATTGTATAATGTCGTATTTTTGCAATCAACGCCGATGCTTTAATAATATTTTTGACAACTGAGTTTATATGGTTTTTCCATGTTAGTTCTTGATCTGTTATTACACCTAGAAATTTGACAGCAGTAGCCTGATGTATAATGTTATTGTTAAGTTGAATATTAATATCAGTGTCACATTTTTTTATTTTTTTATTTAAAAATGACGTACTTAGTTTTTTAGTATTTATTGATAATTTTATTTTATTTTATTTTACAAGTTTGCCATTGCAATGATCTATATAGAGTACTATGGTTACAAATGACTGGAATTTCCACACAGAGATAATTCTCCAATAACGGGGTTCCAAAAAAGAACAACTAATGGTATATCTAATTATTTTGAAGTTAAAGCAAACATAACAATTAAACACAAATACAAGAAGACAAAGCAAACGTATTGACGAACAAACGAACAAAAACTAAATTTAGCAACATGTTCGAGTTGATAAGTTCATTAGTGGGCGAGTGGTGTGACATTTAATACACACAGACTTAAACGTTCTTGGATCTTCAGGGTCATAAATTTGTTGGGTTAATTCTACGTAGTATTTCATTAGATTACATTTAAATGTAGTTAGTGATGTGGTGGATTTCTATATGAAGCCGGGAAGCGTGTTCCATACATTAGCAGCTCTGATGTAAAAGCAGTTTTGAAAAGAAACAGTTTTACTTTTGGTTACATGAAGTAGGATGCCGTTAGTTGAACTAGTATTCCTTGTTTCTCGTGTAGGGATCTTTATAGATATGTTATTGTCAGAGAATTTATTGGCGTTTAGCCATTTAGTCACTTCATTTATTTCTTTTTGCATAACATGCATTAACGATTTGAGGCATTTGTCAGAGTAAAACGCGTTAGTGTCATCAGCATACATAACAAAATAAATTATTTTACTACAGTTCTCAATGTCGTTAATATATAACAGAAAAAGTAGAGGCCCAAGAATCGAGCCTTGCGGAACTCCTGAAGATATGGTCATTTTACATGACTTATGATCACGAAACTTAAGAATTTGCGTTCTTTCATGTAAGTAGTTTTCAAACCATTTTAAACAATTTCCTCTTGTACCATAATGTTCTAGTTTTTTTAGAAGAATTTTATGGTTAACTGTGTCAAAAGCCTTAGATAGATCAAGGAAAATACCGATTGTGTATTTTCCTTCATCTATGGCCTTATAGTCAATTGACAATAATAGCATGTTCAGTGGAGCGATTTTTCCTGAAACCATACTGGTGTTTAGATAAAATGTTTTGTTTTTCAATATATGAAATCAGTCTTTCGTACATTACTTTTTCAAGCAATTTCGAAAAACACGTGAGAACTGAAATTGGCCTATATTTTCAAATAGACATTTTTCATTTGTTTTAAAAATAGTATTCTGTATTAATCCAGTTTCAAAAGTTAAATTGAAAATATGTGCAAGAGGTTTGCAAATCTCTTGTTTTATTGCTTTTACCATTTTGGCACTGATATTATCATGACCTTCTCTTGTTTTATTGCTTTTACCATTTTGGCACTGATATTATCATGACCTGCACTTTTAGTTTCATTTAAGTTATCAATCTCAGTCAAGATTTTCATATTCTGTAACAGGTTCAGTAAACATACTTTCTCGATAGTTACCTTTGAGATAATTTTCAAATGATATTGTGTCATTTTGTTGAATACCTTTGGCCAAATTCGGTCCAACGTTTACAAAATATTCGTTGAATTTGTTTGCAATCTCAATTGTGTCAGAATAATTAACATTTGAGTTCTTTTCTCTAAACGTATCAGGAAGCCCTTCCTTCTTCCTATTGTTTCGATTTAATATTCGATTAATGGTCTGCCATGTCATTTTTTGCCATGTCGAATATTTCACTCACAATATAGACACAATAAATTAGCAACATGCAGTGATGTATTTATTAACGATTCTTGTTCACGTTTAACTATATTGTACTTAATATCAGTTATCCTGTCTCTGTTTCAAATCATATACTTGAAAATACTTTATTGTCAATTGTATATTGATGTCTTTCATAATATCTTGTTTCACGGCAGGAGCATTGGCTAAGGCAAGTCAGTAGTGTTTTTGTCACGCAAAACACGCGTTCGGATAGTGCATGCATAAGACACAACGGACCATTTGCATTACAGACTAAATTTTGATCTCAACAAGTCTAGATAACAATTTCATCACAGCTTGAAAGAGCATCACAAAATTAGTAATATTCCGAAGTTTCGTTGCGAAATGATGTAAAATGCCGATTTAAATATAGCCTTGCAAAGTTTGCCGTTTTTCAGTCATTTTGCATTACTTGGGGGAAATTGACAGCCCAATACCCTTTGGGGATGTCAATTTCCCGTTTGTAATAGCCACCTCCAATAATTTGTAAACTAGTGATAATCTGTAAAGTTTTAGAAGAAAATAATGACCTAATAATCGCCCCATGACTAATCAGCCCCCTGAATACAAAATTGATTCCTACGGTAGAACATATTTCCTATACAGGTTCTCTGGGATGATTGAGGTTAGAGACAACATCTTTACCAATTACCATGGGCGAATTTACTGGGGTAGGAGGTGTTAACCCACTGAGCTGTATAATAACTGGAGGACCTGCTCCTATACTTCGTTCAGTCAACAAATTGTCCGCAAAAACATGGCGGATTTTGAGTGAAAATGACGCCATTTCCATGACTACTGGTAATTGCCAAATTCATGGTAATTGCCACTGAACAAGGCTCAAATATGAACCCGCCACAGTTTTCACCCCCCCCCCCCTGGTTTTTATAAAAATATTTCGGCTTTTTGCAGTGAATACTGAATACTTGTTGTTTTGATATTTTCGACATATTTTTTCGACTGTTGACCATTTGTTTAAAGATGCGAAAGTCGTACACGTTAATCCTCGTCCGTGAAGCGTGAAAGACAACAAACAACTATTAAAACCTCGCGAAAGCCGAAATGTGGGCAAAAACGATACTTCAAGCCAGAGCAAACATCCGTATTAATCAGACTATAAACAGGTATTTATAAATATTTATTAGAATGTACTCTATTTTTTTAGAAAACAAGCCACGAATATTTATGTGGTTGTAGACACTAGACGAACCTTTTTATATAAACTTTAAAATACAGTATAATAATTTCATCCCTCAATCCCAAGGAATTAATGGTTGTACATGTATATGAATTTGACAAACATTTGACATGAAACTATGATGTGCTAGTATATTAAAGAGGGAGGTAAGGTTTTATATATAGATTTAGCCAAGGCTGGGTTTTATCACGCATAAGCTTGTGGTGAACTGGTGCAGCAGGACAAAGCTCAGCTGATCTGAGAATGCATGTTTTGCCCAAGTTTGTATATTGTGTGCTCTCTGATAGTTTGTTGTATGTATCTTTAAAAGGCCATGCATTAACTTGTTTGTCCCATCCCTATGCGTGTTGGGTTAATTGACTCAAGTGCTGGCATATTTCTGCTGTCCCTGAGGTAAGGGTTGTTAATGTGACAGCTAGGCCAGTAAGCAAGACCTCACTGTGTGGTTATTTTTATAGTGGAAATTCCTTTCACATTGTATGGACAACCTGACTGGCTCAGTTTTCAGATCTCACCTGAACAAGGCAAGCTCTCAGTTACATCGGGAAGATATTTTATGGCTACAAACACTAACTGGACTGACTTGGTCAAAATAAAGTCAAAACAACATTGGTCATGAAAATATTGTCAAAACAATAGAATTGTGTCGGCAAGAAATAATAAATTATTCTCCCAACCAGGCTTCCATATTGATAGCCCCTATGGCTATAATCTATTCTGAGCCTCCTCCGCAGGCCTCTCTATGGTTTTTAGCCTGCAAATGGGTTCCCATCACTCGATTCCTCGGGTGAGATGCCTGCGAAGAAGGCTAGAGTTCATGCCACTGTTGTTAGTGAAACTCCATACCAAGAAACATGTATTCATTTGTAAGTTTCAAAATTAATTAAAGATAAAAATTTGCTTGATTTTTTATATTATTTATTTTAATTAAACTTGCTAATTTAGTAATTTGATAATTATTCTTTGACCATGCAGTGAATAATTTTAAAACATGTAATACAGTATTATTAAAACTAGAGCTCATGCATTATTTTTTGGCTGTTTGTACAGAGTAAATATATAACACATTCCCACAAA